AGCATTATGAATCGTGCACTTTTGGATTTTAAAAACTTTTTTAAATTGAAGTTTGACATAAATTTATCGGAAAATTGGAAGTATAATAAGGTTATTACTGAAAACTTGTGTGTATTTAAACTACTTTAAAAAAATTCCATATAATCATGTTATACGTAATTTTTTTTAATCCGCTTAGGGTATGCACAATTGGATTTACCAATAGTTTATTAACTTTATATTAAATGAATATCGCAATAATTTTTTATATAATAGCTAAGTGTCTAAGAAATTAGATAACTTAATTGAAATCTATCCAGAATTTTTTCCGTGATGCGCGCACAACTGCAAACCTCTATTATTTTATTTTTATAAAAAAATTTATGCAAAATTTTTACGCCATGTTTTAAGCACTCCTTTCAGCTTCCAAGGAGCAGTGCACTCATGGCTGTTTTTTGGTTTATAAGGTTAGCGATTTAGTACAATTATAGGTTGTAGCCTTCTGTGTTTGAGGTTATTTCAGGTGTTCAAGGGCTGCAGTAACGATCCAGTGGACTTCATACTATCGAGTGGACGTTAGTGAAGGAACAAGAGTGAATTGAAGGTTGAGATAGTATGGATTGTTGGTTGTCCGCTGGAACATGCTGACTCATGGGTTTGCATGATGCATTAGGCCAGTAAATACTTCTTAAAGCATACTGCCAGTGCTTTTGTAAGTGCAGCTTTTTATAGGATAAGGGTGACAAACGAGCACATAGTCCACCTGATCGTAAGTGGATGCTGTGGTCCATAGAAATCTACATTTATCCTCGATTAAGCATGAAAATGCAGATGCGTTGTCACCCCAGAGGACTAAGATGGAAAGTCTCGTTTTCAGTAAAAAAAAGGTCACCAGTTCCCTACACTCACCATACGAAACACAGCAGCGGTCGAGCCGACCCATTCGTGCTACAACCATAATATAGCTGCAGCGTGGCTCTGCCACGTATAAGCCTATGAGTTAGCTATACCACACAGCTATAACACGTACAGCGAGTTAGAGTTGGTGTATGTGTAAATGTGTATTTTGGTTTAAAAACCCATATAAATAAAATAAAATAATTTATAATGACATAATACTAACACTAGAATGCCAGTTTTATAACTACCATTACACTGTTGATTTTTTCTGAAATAAATTATTATTTATTATGTAGCAGACTAAACCTTTTAACTGACTAAATTAAATAGTTTGGTGCCCTTGAAATCCATTTATTTAAAACTGTTACATCATGTAGGCGCGCGTAGCAATTACTGGGTTTGGCTGTGAGTCAATTTTAACTGTAATAACATTGTCATTATATCTAATTCATTAGGTAATTTTGACTGACAAATAATAACCAAAATATGTTACGGATTTTTTCACTTTGCTATAATGATATTTCTATATTTGGCGTAATGGTAACAATATGTAAAAACTTTCTAATTCTCGCAAGTTATATCAGTTTTCTTTGGGAATTAACTTGTATAATTTTTATGAATGTTTTAAGAGGATTATGTATATGCCAAAAGGATCTTATGTAGACTTGCAACGAATATGCGGCTATTATTCGGTATTCGGCCTATTCGGCTACTTTTATCATATTCGGTCGAATACCGAATACTTAAGCAAGAGGTTTTATTGTAGTCAGATAATTGGTAAAATTAAAATAATAATTTATTTTATAAATTTTTTTTCTTCAAATCATCGAAGTAGTCATAGGTACATTATCAACTTGCATAAATTATAGAAAAAAAAATCAGATAAATGTCTATGTACTCGAGTTCTATGCAATTATAATTAAAGTGGAAGATAATGGTGCAGAATGACTAATTTTTCTTCATTTTCAGGCAGTAGTTTACTCCATTTCTTTTCAGAGACAATCTCAGCTTCAGAGAATAGATGCTCTGAAGAATAAACACTACTTCCTTCCCGGCCGAATACTTTTGCCTAATATTCGGCCAGGAAGTCCACAGAATATTCGGTTTTCGGCGTGTGGCCGAACATACTATTTCCTGCAAGTGTAATCTTATGGCTTCCTACAGATAACGGTATAATCATCATGTATAGACCAGACGGAAAATACTCAGACCGGCGATGGGAGAATTGTTAAAGGTGCAAGAAATCTGGAACTACAATCGCCAATTCACCTGTAAAACGTGGCGACTAAGGCAAATCCTCCCTACAGTAAGGGAGGCCTATGTCCAGCAGTATATATTTAAGAGATGGTGAAATATAAATTTCTGGGTGTAGGTGTTTTTTTAGCTTTTATTTGGAAGACAACTTCTCAACTCCCGGTTTTTTCCCCCTGTCACCTCTTACGCCACCCACGTGATAATATGCGGTAGTGAATATTCTTATTCCGCCACTACACAGTAGAAAAAAATAAACAACATAATATTATTATATGTGATAGATGGGGTTATTGGGTTGGAGTTATTGATTATAATATAGTTTAAATTAAATATTATTTTAAAGGACAAAGATTGTTTTTTATATATAGTATCTTATCTCTACACATTTTCTATTACTCTATCACTATCAAAGCAGCTAATCACAAGCCCACTAATGAACATAGGTCTGAATCAATACGTCGCTGACGCCGAAAGGGCGAACCTCAATTCTTAAAAAATTACAGAAGAGCAAGAAAACATTTATTATTCCCCGATTACTAACTTTTTTCATCAGAAAATTAAATATATTAGACTTAATGGGAAACTACAAATAAGATTAAGTTTCTGATGAAAAAAAGCTATTGAATTGAGGAATAATAAATGTTTTCTTGCTCTCCTGTAGTTTTTTAAAAATGAAGTTCGCCCTTTTGAGCGTTAGTGGCGAATAAATTACCACAAAGTATGCCCCTGAGACAACTGTATCCATCAACCAACTGTATGTTTCCTATGGAGTGAGGAAACATACAGGTGGTTGATGGATACAGTTGTCTACTAGTGGGTACTTCTTTTATATCCATACAAATTTGTTTGTTTTGTGTATATGTTGTAAATCTGGGTTTTTATATCATTGAAAATAGCCAGAGATATGAAAATAAATCTATACATTGTTCACATTACATATTTATTTATCAAAATGGGACAATTAGTTTCAGAGAAGAGTAAAAAATTGCATTCGACATAAGAGAGTTATGCTATGTTTGAGATCCAATAAATTAAAATTAAAGCACTGGTGTGCGGTGCTTATATTTTATTGTGTAGAATCTTTATTTATTAAATCTAATATTACTTTTAGGGACATTTAAAAGTAATTGAGAGAATGCTTTGCTCAGTGTTAAAAAGTAAATAAAATCTATATAATCTTGGCAAGTAAACATTATCTAAATAAAATAAAAAAATCCTAATTGTAAAGCCTTTTTAAAGAAACTGTTACATATATATAACATATACAGACATGAATTTCTCACTAAAAGTATATAATAGTAGTAGGATAAGTGAATTGCATTAAAACATAAACATGATAAGACACAGTTTCATAATAAATCTATTTTTGTGACCATGGCCTGTTTTTACACAGCAAATGAACCACAGTAACCATAAAAATGTACTGACTTGTCTAATCTCAAAGTAAATTCATTGTAGGGCTAGGCGTGATAAGATTGTATTATACAAACACTGTTGTAATTCAGGTTAATGAATACTTGGATAAGTTACTAATAAACTATTTTATTTCAAACAACCCAAGATAACATATTAAGTAAAAAATATTCCAAAACTGGATTTATATTAACATACTTATAAGATTTAATAAAAATGTTTTAATGTTTTTCTGCCCGATTTTGACGATGATGACAAACTTACATATTATTTAAAATTGAAAATAGTGACATCTTATTTAGAAAAAAAATTAAAACAGTACCTAACTAATAAATGTTACTATAGTACTAATGAATATTTTATGAATAATACATATATAGGTTTAACAAAATGATCACTCATTTAAATATAATTCTATTTCAATAAACCACAATGACATTCTTGTAAGTAGTTAAATACGCTTCCTCTCTTAGCCCATAAATTGCTTGCCCAACAGGGTCCACAACACTGATCTCACATTATTTTATAACATCTTGTGTACATTATGGTTTAGCAATAAATGTTTGAGTTTGAGTTTGAAAACTTTTATATATTATTAGAAGGTTACCTATCAACTGCATAGAACTATTAAAGCAATGTTTATTGTCATCCACAAAGGAACAATGATTCAGATACTTTGTGAGAACCTCTGTTTACTGAAAACATATCATTTGTGTTATAACAAATGTTGACCTTGTCTGGGATTCCAACTCTTAACCTGCACTCTGTTAAACACTGAAATCACCACTAAATAACATTTTTTTTTACATTTTCTTTTTAATGAAATAATAAGAATTCTGCTTTCCAGTATATTTCACTATGCCTTGGGTTAACTGGGAGAGAATATCAAATGGTGTAAAGTCCAAACTTTGTAACTCTTTTGTTTAAGGTGATAGCAATAAAGCATAAATAAATTTAGAAAAGTTATATTAGATTAGAACTTAATATAAAGTTAAATGTGTTGTTTTTTAAAGTTTAATTTTAAAATTAAACCATAAAATTTTATTTTCCACCTTAGGTGATTGATAAATCCACATTTCATTATAAATAATGATAAAATTGAACTTATATAAGCAACACTTGAAGATGATTAATATGGTATCTGCTTTATCATAAGTTTCATTGACAGGCTTTCAATTAAACCTTTACGTTAAGAATGTAGTATTATTTTCATAATAATTTCAGATGTTACATAAACATATTCTATGATATAATCCTCTAACATCTTTAAAATCTTTAAAATAATGACAATATAATCTGTAACATAAACACTAAACAGTATACAGAAAAGTTATAATTTTGTATGTTTAGGCCAATTATAAAATTAGAACAATTTAATAAATTCATAAATGTTTACTGTTCAAACCAGGGTATATTATGTTACCAATAAATAGTTATATTTCAAAATGACTTACCTTTCGAAATGCAAACAGTTCATTCTGAAGCTTCTGCCGTTCAGCAGAAGGCTGTTGACCCTTCCCCCTTATGAATTTTAGCATTCTGCTTGCCTGCAACAAAATAAGCACTTAGAACACTTCACAGACACCACAGAAACAATCAAACGGACAAAACACGACCCTACCATTATGATTTCATACTACTCTAAGCATAAACACAAGTGTACCGACCGGCATCGAAAAGCCGACTGATTTTTATATGCCCCTATTGGTTTTACACTGCGCTACCAGCACCCACACCGTGTCAAGATAATGACTATAACTTTTCATTACATCTAAAGATAACAGACTTATTGATATCGCAGTCATTAGTCAGAAACGATATAAAAACATTGAGTTGGTAACATTATATTCATTAAATTAATAACACAACGTACAAGGCAACGCCTGTCTAACAACAGGTTACATGCACAACTTTACCATATATAATCTTACAGATAAGGGTCTAGTTACTATCGAATTTCGTTGAAAAATACATTTTACATACCTATCGACGACAGTTTGATGAGTTTTAGTGATGAAATCCAAAATTATAGAAATGACAGACAACTAACAACGGCGTCAGAAATACATACAAACACACCATAAAGCACTACACAAACACAACCATAGATTACTAATACTATACTACTACAATAATTAGTCATACAAACGTTAGGCACATTCAGCCCACAACGTGACGTGACGTGACAAGTTTGGCGTGTTGCCCTTTATAATTATCATAAATCACTCTATTCAAATAAATAATCCTAAAAATGTATAATAAAATTAGAATTTTTGTGTGTAAAGTGAAGGACTTTATAATGATAAGTTCAGTTCAGTTTGCAAAAAAATATCAAGGCAGGAAGAGAATTCCGTTTTGACCCGTGGCGGTTTGACCCGTTACTAAAATTATTGAAAAAGAGCACTAGCCAAAACATATTTATTCTTAGACTTGTTTCAACATGCTTTCAAATATTATCTGGAAGCAAAGAAAAATGTAATTACTACGTCTAGCTGGAAGTTGCTTATGTTATATAACGGTCGTGCAGAATCAATAGCCAAAATATTAATATGTAGGAAGTATAGTGGGTATAGTACAGAGACTGATTTTGTAGTTAGGAATAATAATTAATTCGTTTACACGAATTAATTATCCAACGAGTCGAGGATAAACTAGTAACGGAATACGACAAGCGTATCGTTCCACGTCAGAGCCAAGACTGTCTTAACGGCGGCCGCTCAGTCCGTTTTATACAAGCAGGACGGGCGGCAACGCAGGTGCGATGCCGCAGGTGTGCGGTACACGTGTAGTTTACAAGAATTCTGTCTAGCTAGACCGACGCCACCGCATCTACAACGGTGCAGGTGCCGTCACGGCCATACTGACATGCGTGCGTCCTCGCACGCGCTCCATCACAATTTTAGTTATCTGTAACAACTGTAATCTGTAAAACATCGTTCGATTATCCTGACAAAACAGCGTCTGGTCCGGTCTATACTGACCCTTCAGACTCTGGTGATAATCAGTTTTGTTCCGGCAGTAAGCCCTACAAAACTTTTATCAACTTTATGCTAGATCGGAATGATTAGTCTGTAGCTTTTTCTATTTTCTCTCTTTTTTTTTCAAGTACTGTTTTCGCTAGTCCGGAATTACTATTCCCTATAGCCATATCATCGGACCGGCACAAAGCCCTGCAATGATAGTAAGAACTATTTTTTTTTCTTACGCCTTTTTTTTCAAGTACTATTTATGCTAGTCCGGAATCACTATTCCCTGTAGCTAAATCATTGGACCGGCAAACGCCCTGCAATGATAGTAAGAACCACTTTTTTTTCTTACTCTCTCTTTTTTTCAATTCAGTATAGAACAGTTACAGACCAACCATACCGCAAACATGTCCCCGTCACAATCACACAAAAGTGTATCGTGAGGGACGTAGTGACACGATAACACCTAAGTATGTAAACCAACAGTAACTCGACACAAATCCCAGTGCAGCACAGACCAGCCTCCCTGCAACTTCATGTTCCTTTCCTGCACTAGAATAATTACTTCGCTAGAGTGTTGCAACGTCTCTAGTATTTTCTAGATACACAGACACGGCTACCTCTGACTGTCGCACGTCCTCGTGCGGTTGACAGTGAACAGCATACGGTCTATCAGTTATCACCACCTGCTAACAGATATTAACTCTTGTTAAATATTACAACGGTCGACCATCCCAGACTTCATTTAGGTCTGGAACGCGCCGATATGGCTACCTCCAGTCAAACGCACTACAGCTTTTCGTTCTGCAGCGTTCGTGCCACATTCGCGCCAGCAAGCCGTCACGCCGTACTAGCGCTAGCGAATCGTCGCACTGCTTTGCAAAATTAAAAGAAATCGAGATAAATGTATTGCGAACCATGGAATTCCGAGCTTCCAAAATTCATCGCACATTCTCTTAAGAAACGGCAACTGTATGACATTTGAAAACATTGCAAAAAACGGAAACTATGTGTAGAGACGGATACCATCATATATTTCAAAGGGAAGGAGGCAACTGTGCAAAATCTACGAAAGCCGACCAAGCCTCAGAAGTTCATTTACAGCACCAAAGGACCATGTGTTCGGCGGCCGCTTGAATTGCCTTGCCGTAAGATCTGCCGATAAGTTACAGACTGTAGCGGTGTAGGCTCAATCTTACTAGCGCTCGGCTGTACCTGACCATGTTCGATTAGCCGTCACAACATCTTCCTCATTGATCATTGTTGTAGAGACTTCTACGAATCTCTCGACATCAAACCCCAATCTTGTCAACGACACAATATTCGGAGCAAACTGCAACACTGATCAACACATTAGAACACAAAAATGTTACTTATTATTTTCAATTCATAGCGTGTTAAAGTTACTTAATCCTTTATTGTAGTACAACCCTTAAAAGTTTTGAACTTCAAAATATAGCAAATGATAATCATGTTTCGCATGAACTATCAAATTACAACAAAATGAGAGCAGCAGGAGCACCTGAGGGTTCACAGGAATCGTCGGGGCTGTAGTCATCATGATCTGCGTGAAAAACAAATTGTTAACAATAAGGACAACATACACAGTTGCCTGTTCTCTCATCTATCACACATACGAGGCCCTAAAACAGAAATACGTTCTCATACCGTGGACTATAATAAAGCACTTCGCTTTCGCAAGTAAACATATGTCTTCATACGAAGTATCTGACACATACTCTTACTTGAACTTGCGAGATCCCACGTTAACTACGTGAACCACATTAAAAACGTGAACCAGGACAGCGCCTGCCAGGACAGAGCCTAATACAAGTTCAGAAAACATTACCGTGCACACAGCATACGACTTCCGCGCACACAGTGTGACCCCCACGCATACAGAGTACACGACTTCCGAGGCATCGCCATGTACAGCATACGCGCGCTCCGGGATGGCGCCTGCGTATACGCGCATACGCATCTGCCGAAACCAGGCCATGTTACAGCTGGACCTGGCAGTCCGTTACGACCAGCAAGGCACACACTCACGCACTTGTAATCACATCACACGTGCTACTGTAACACATAAAAGAAAACATTAAAAATACTCAGTCGGAACTTGATTTCAAGAAATGCAGCACTACTCTTGATACACCATTCGCCTTTCTAGGGCACCAAATACTGAGCTGCGGCTACACGACAACCTCTGGTATGGTCCGATCCTCATGTAAACTTAAATACTCTCTTCAATGTCAGAACTGATTGGCTCTACTTCACTTTCATCAGTTATACTTCGGTTTTCCGGCATTTTTCGCAACCAATTAAAAATGTAAACACTCATTCTTACAAAATAGTTTCTGAGCCAATGTTTAGGATAAATTTACTTTCCTCAGGTATCTAATGGTGATCAGTAGCAGCGACAAATAATAAGTCCGCGGCGTCATAAGCCGACAGCATACTCAGAAGCGAGCGCTACAGCTCCACGCTTTCCACTAAACCATTCCAAGTTTGTCGACTACGTAATGCTCAGAGTAAACTGTAACACTTATCACATTAGATCACAAAAATACTACTTAGTGTTTTTAAGTCATAGCACGTTAAAGTAATCATGTTCTTTTTTTTTCGGTACATCGTTTAAACATTTTGAACTTTAAAACTAGGCCATGTAAATCACACCTCGTGTATCAAATTATAACATTACTTGAACAAGTTAAACTTCCACTGAATGCAAACTATAACTCATTCAGAATATCTCCAACATTTTTTTCGACATTTGTTATCATATTTGGGTATGTTAAGAAATAATGAAATTATTTGAGGGTACTTTTAATACAAATCGAACAAAAGGATTTATCTTTTGGCTTAAATTATTTCACTTTATCTTTTCTCTACACTTTAATGATACGACAATATCGTAAGTAGGACAGCAAATTTCATTGCGGTATTTAACATAAAAAGAGATCCATCAATGCGAAATGCATTATAGCCTATACAAATGTAATAATTCTCATACTATTCGAATATTATATGTGGGCAATAAGGGGGACTTTATTCCACTTCTGATGTAGGAAGTATAGTGGGTATAGTACAGAGACTGATTTTGTAGTTAGGAATAATAATTAATTCGTTTACACGAATTAATTATCCAACGAGTCGAGGATAAACTAGTAACGGAATACGACAAGCGTATCGTTCCACGTCAGAGCCAAGACTGTCTTAACGGCGGCCGCTCAGTCCGTTTTATACAAGCAGGACGGGCGGCAACGCAGGTGCGATGCCGCAGGTGTGCGGTACACGTGTAGTTTACAAGAATTCTGTCTAGCTAGACCGACGCCACCGCATCTACAACGGTGCAGGTGCCGTCAAATACTTTTTATTGTGTGTTTATACCCTGCCCTTATCAAATATAAACAAATTTGAAAAGCTTAAGCAAAATTTGCTTAGTAAAAAAATACAGTCAAATTGCTTGTAATTTAACTATTAACATATATTTTAAACTACTAACTAAATATTTGAAATTTAGACAGAGCTTTTGCATTTTCATTATCCTTAAAAATTAAATATTTATAAATATCTTTTTTTTTCTTCCAAACTTTTTAACCTCTGACGAAAACAGAGGGATGTTATATGTTTGTAGTGTGTATCTGTGTGTCTATCTGTGGCATCATAGTTCCTTATCGGACTTGAATAAACTGGTATATTCTAAGTCTATGGGATGAACCATAGACTTAAAATATACTGGCGTATAGAGCATAGATATAGTATACATTTGACGATAGAGTGATAAGGGTGAGACCAAAAACGAAATGTACCGGTTTGAGTAAAATGTGCGAGACGAATAGTGCTGCGCCATGCATCAACTTCAATTATCGATACAGAGCACTGCGTCCGTGTTATAAAATGAATATTTTTATGTTTGAGGGCATAAAAATAAATCTACAAACAAAAATTTTGTGATTTATAATTTCCACCAAAAATAATTAACTTATTGTACAAATGTCGTAAGCTCTCCTTAGAGGTATTTTGCAATTTTGATTCATACTTCTATCTAATTATCAAATAAGTTTCGATTATTAATTTAATAATTAAGTGTTTATGGTTTGATATTACTGGCAAATCATACATATGTATGTCAAACATGTTAAAAGTTTTTTACAGA